CTTGTCCTCTACAATGACTTAAAAAGTGTACTGACTTTAAAAAAATAATAATAAATGTTAATTAAAAGCTTCTTGTCATTTTTTCCTGATAGTCTGCTGTCACAGCTGTTTATAAATTAACCCAGAATGGTGAACATGAATGAAATGCAAGTAACTTTATGTTATATTAATGTTCAGCTTGCAATTAATGACTGCACAGTGATGAGCAATGCAACACTACAACATAAATCACATAGAAAGTAACATCCAAATCCAAACACTTACTCCTAAATTAGGAGTTAATCCCCTCAGTCACCTGAAAGTCCTAGACACTGAACTGCTTTCTTTTTCTAGGACACCATGATGCTAGTGCATTTGTGCTTGCGTATGCTTTTCATTGTCTTATGATTATTGCATACAAATAGGCCTGCTGCCTGCCCTGCTCCAGCCCCAGCCCCAGCCCCAGCTCTGGGCCGGGCCCCTCTGGGGAGGGGGTGGCAGTCCCTGCCTGGCAAACAATAGCCCTTTTTTGGGGGGGGGCAGGGGTGGGGTGGTTGCCACGCTGCCTGAGAGGGAGGCAGGCTGGGGTGAGGAAATAGAAAAGTAAGCTCAAGTGGACCGAAAGACAGAGGAGGAAGAACCATGACCATTAGACCTCTCCCAGTGAAGACCTCAGGCTGCTGACAGCTAATTGCAACCCTGCCCCAGTCTTCCTGAGGAAGTGTTGACCTCAGGATATAGGAGGACATTGGAAAGGCGAGTGTAACACCAGAGAAAAGGGGCAGATATTAGGGAGTGGTGTTTTTATAACAATTTTAGCTATTATTAATGAGGCTTTCCTGTATTAATTATACAGCATGGACTATCAGACTGTTAAAACATTAACGGAACTAACAGTAAATTCTTGGTAGGAGGCATAAGACATGTTTCCTATTGCCCATAAGAAGGTTTTGAATGTCACGCCACGCATTGGGCAAGAAGCTGGGGACCCTGGGGGCCAGATCTGCTCAGCCCAAGGGGCCGAGCTCCCCTCCAGGCAATGCTCCCACTGCCAGGAGGGCACAGTTGCCATGCTCCTGGCCCCCTGTTGCACACGGGATACTCTGCAGACTCGAAAAGGAACAGGAAAGGAGGAGCTTCGTGCTAAGCCAAGTAGCACTGGGATAGTCAGTTGGGAGAGAAAAACCCATGTTCCTTAACTACCTTCCCAGAAGAAGGACACCAAAAAGGCTTACCCCTTAAACAGGCTTTGCTTAGCGAGTGTTTTTGACATGGTTTAATGATCTTAACGCTGAAATGAATGAGAATGATACACTCAAACACTCTTAAAGAATGTGCCCATAATGCCTTTCCTTGGTATGCTGGCTGTAAATTAAGACTGCTCATACATTTCTAGTAAAGTAAACAAAGGAAAGAAATTTTAAGGCCTTTAGCAGACAGTACAAGTAGCAGAATGTATATTCTGGTGATCTGGGTATCTTCAGTGAAGCACCCACTCTGCCTTCCCTTCACCAGTTGCTGGTAAGTATGTGTGTATGTAGTAGCCATAGAGGTCTAATTGAAAATAGACATCTATATCCACATCCAGTGGAAAACACTTTTTCTTCCAAAAGATCATATAAGCTCTCCTGTTGATAGTAAAAAAAAAGTCTAACATGTGGCAAGCCATATTTGTGAGTTGTATAACGGTACTGAGAATTTTCTTTTCTGACTCAAAACTTCAGACAGGTATTCCTGACAAAGAATCAACCAGTATCATACCTATTGCTAACTAATAGAACTAGAAATTCATATAGTTTGGGGGTATAGTTTTAGGGAAACTGAGTCAGTTAAGTGGTTAGCTTATTCTGAATCTTTTATTAAGGAGCTGCGTATTTTATTATGATTTCAAAAGAACAAGATTTTTCCTACAGCACAGTGGTTCAGATCAAGCTACAGTGCCATTCTGTTCCTCGGAGTGACTTCTTTAAAAACTTAGAATTCCTTAAAAATGTAGAATATGGTGAAAGGACGAAAAACATGCAGTGAGTGACTTCACTTTTAAGACATCCATTAGACTGAACGCTGTTTAACTTTAACTTGGAAGGTGTACTTTCAGACTTACCGAGATACATTGTCAGTAAAATGATTTTGGCTCTGCAATATAAAAGCACACACTTATTTGTAGCCTCAGTCAACTAAACCTGCATCTCTGCTCCTTTGCTTGTACTGCCATTACAGACAAAATTTTGGTGGCCTATTCCATATAAGCTCCCTTCCCCCGCCTTGTACGGGAACTATTAATCACATAGTAGCACACTGGCTATAGCAGATCTTCTCACAAAAATGACACTCATATACTCCAAGATGTGGGCTGGCTGGATTTTGGGTGAGCTAATTCCCTATAATGTCTTAAGGGCTGAACTCTTAAGGCCCCTAGCAGCAAAAACAACAGGTAGGGATAGAATTAGGGTAAAAATCCCTCTACCACAGCAGATATGCTGGCAGGGGAGAAGAAGGACGGCACAAGTCATTCCCTATCTATACGCGACGGGTAGTGTCTCTGCGCAGGGCGATTCTGCTGTTGGCAGTCAGCACTCTCAGTTCTGGAACTCGCTGAAACGTCATGGCAAAAGCTGTCATATGGCACACTGAGATTTTGCCCTGAAGTTTTCATCTTTATACGACAACAGCTTGATGTGGGTGACAACCCTGCTGCTTCCTAAAGTTCACATCCACACAAACAAGTTTAACACATGGCTTTGTAAAGTAAGGGGAACTGTCAGATGATGCAGTAATGCAGCAACTGTTTTTCCTCTGGGTTGATGGAAGACTCTCTAAACAAATTTGTCCTGTTCTTTGACATGCCAAGTGTTTGTCGGGGGTAGATATTTATAGTAGATAAAGCAAAGGTCATGCTACAATGCCTCAGTTTTCCCTTACTGTAGTATTTTTCTCCAGCAGCAGATACAACCACATTTTGGGGCAGAGCATAACAGACTCTTGAGGAACAATTACAGAACGATGAAGCAATAAGAAACAGTGAAGATATATGTCCTAAAGCCTACAGGTTTATATTATTTACAAATATTTGTCCAGTAATAATAATAGGACTGTGTATAGCTCTGTTGTATGAATACTAATTAATTTACACGTTCTTGATTTCAATATCTCATGGCCAACTTCCATGAGTTAATTATGTACTTCAGAAAAGTATTGCCTTTTATTAGTTTTTTTTTTCACTCTCAATATTCTCCCAAGCCTCTAGGTTCTATAAAGGATTTTTATTTCAAGCATTTTGCTCTGCTGAATCCATAACATGCCAGGTTTCTTCTGCTTTTTCTTTTTACATAGTACATGTGTTAAAATTGTATCATTCATCAAAGAGTAGCTGAACAACTTTTATCTGAACTCAGTTCCTGCAAAAAGCAGTGATCTTAAAAGAACTGTGGATAATTTTTTCATATTCATAAATTCATAATTTATTTTAAACTTTAACTGAAGCTGGCTCTTGCTATCTCAGACATAATTTCTGAGAATATTTTTGGAAATATTTGAAATGTGAAAAGTTGAATGTGAACGCAAGCAGAAAGTAAGGTACTGGAGACTATGCTTGAATGCAGCACTTTCAGGTTCTTGTAGTGCTTCCATAAATTTAGTTTTAACACATATTGACAGATTTATCATCTCAAATTCAGTACCTAATGATAAAGTATTTTTTTATGAAAGCCTGGATAGATGTCTTTCACTGCGCAACTCTGAGAAAATGAGCTTGACTCTATCTTCTCTACACCTTCACATTAGATAGGTGGCAGGCTGCTGTTAGGCCCCCCTGAAAGGGCTTCTTTGCAAGGCTGCACAAGCCCAGCTGCCTAAGCCTCTTCTCACAGGGCAAATGCTTCAGACCTCAACCATTTTGGTGGCCAGTTAACTCACGCCAGTTAATTTATGAGGTTTTTTCCAGTTATTTGAAGAAGATTCCATCAACTTTTCTAGATCAAGTGGTCTGTAGCAGACATCCACCACAGTGTTTCCTGTACTGAAGCTCTGCTCATCCTGCCCCACCAGCTCTTGACCAGTGCATCACCACCACCCATTCCATAGCAAAGCTCCATGCATTCAAGTCACTATTTTGCATGAAGGCCAGCCCTGTCACCCCAGCCTCCCCATCTTTCCAGAGAGCTTGTAACCCGCCATTGCAACATTCTGTAATGGGGGCTATCCCACTATGTGTGCTGTAATTCTAGCGAGGCTGTAGTTCTGAGAGTTGCACGTGGACTTTTTATTCCTTCTGCGTCCTATGCTGCGCACATTGTTTATAGCCAGAGACGGGCCCCCACTTGCACTGCTTTGTCCTAGTGTGACAGCTTCCCTGATCATGCTTTCCTGCAGGCAATTCTTTCCAGCCCCTTCCACTTTTCTTTGGGCTTTTGTCTCCATTCCCTGACAGATGCAGTTTAAAACTTTCCTCAGAGAGTCAGCAGGCCTGTTGGTGAAGATGCTCTTGTTCTTTGTTAGATGGATTCCATCTCTGTCCATCAGATCTCACTCCTCAGAGGGTCTCATGGTAATAAAAGAAGTAGTCCTGTCTATAACACTAGCTATGTGTGTCCACTCCTACCACCAGGATTGAGGAGAACTGCTCTGGGCCCCCATGGCCTGCACCCTTGCCGCCAGAGTCCTCTGTTCACTTTTGGCATCCAGTGGTGTTGGCCTCCATTGGCAGTCTTTACCAACTAAAACCAACTGCTTCCTCTTAGTGGCACTGGATAGAGTGTGTGCATCAGACCCAGCCAGCCCACTTGCCTCTCTGGATGAAACTTGCTCTTCCTCACGTGCTGTCAGGTCCCAATACTTATTCTGTATGCACACATCTGAAGGTGAAGAAAAAGCCTTCTTCCTGTTGTCAGAAGTCACCATCTTCCAATCTCCACTGTCATAAGGAGTACCTGCCCTTGCTCAGCCTGAATGAATCCTCTAGGCCATCCCTGCTGCTGTGCAAGAGGGACGCTTATCTCTTCAGGGTCTCAAGGAGGAACCTCCTAATCTTCTGGTTGCTGCAGCCTGTTCTCCTCCTTAACTGGCTCCTTCCCCTGCCAGTGCAGCAGCTCAACCAGGCTGCAGGCCTGGCTGGTAAGGAGCTCATGCAACTGCCTCCTGTGCCATTCTGCAAGCAGGACCATGAGGTTAAACATCTTCTTTAGATTCTTGCTTGATGTAGCTCCCAGAAGAGTACGAATTCCAGTGAAGTATGGACTGATTACAAATTACACCAAAATACATGATCACCTGATAAAATGTAGGCAGTAAGAAATAGACTTTCCCCCCCTCTATAGGGAATGAGAGGAAACATAAGTTACTACTTTTGCTCTTGCTTTGTGTTGTTTGAATCTACTATAGTCAAAGTTTTAGATTGTCCTGACATTTATGAGAACGGAAAATTAAAATCAGGTCATAAAGTTGATGACCTGGGCTAATATTCCTGTTTACCAAATGAAGCCGAAATACATGATACAATATTAATTGCTAGTAGTATTTTAAACACTTTTTCAGTGCTTTCTTTCAAGCTACCTTCACCTTTCTTTAATCAGAAATTCAATCAGAAATTCTATTTCTCCTCCCACTTAGCTTTCCTGCATGTCACTACATGGAAAATCCCTTTTTCTGCTATTGCAATGACAAAGAATTCATTCACATTCAAACAGAAAAGTTGGGAAGATAATAAGACAAGAACAAATAAGATTGTCCCTCACGCTTTCACTCTCTTGTCCAGAATTAATTCATTTTTAACCATCATCAGTATTGAAAATTAACAGTGTAAAAGATCCTTCCCTCATTCAGAGGAGCAGAAGTGCTTATATTATTTTTAATACAATTATGAAAATTGTTCATTATTAAACAATTTATTATTAAAGCTAATCAAAACAAATAGCAAGAAAATGAGAAAATAATGTTTGCTGATTTTAAAATAGTATGTTTTGAAAAGCACATATCCACATAAAGATTATAATTGTATTGTAATAGGCAGTGGTGGGTACATGTTAGTACATGTTAGTACATGTTGCTGCTGTCATATCCACATTTTTATATCAAGCTGTAAATATATGATTAAAGCTGTACAGATAAATCAAGTAACATACAAATTATAGACCAAAATTTAATTTTTTTATTAAAGTAAATTCACAGAATCACACAGAATCACAGAATCGTTTAGGTTGGAAGGGACCTCTGGAGATCATCTAGTCCAACCTCCCTGCTCAAGCAGGGTCACCTAGAGCAGATTGCCCAGGATCACATCCAGACGGGTTTTGAATATCTCCAGCGAAGGAGACTCCACCACCTCT